AAAAAAAAAAAGGAAAGTCATCCCATGTTCTAATTCTTCCCACCTGATCATCCCAGAGCTACATGAAAGAAATTCCAAAGAAAGATGCACTTCCTACTGGGAACTATGCAAAATTTCAGGTTCCTACTGTCTATAGTTTTATCAAACAAAAAAACATTTTTTTAAAAAATGAAGGAATGAATGTGACTGAGTACATGTCAGCTCTGGTTAACACAGAATGATGGATGCCTGCAAATATTTGGATGTCTTATCTCTGACAGCCGAGTTGGAGGCCCGTAGAAACCACAGTTTTGCATGCAGGGGCCTGATATTTTAGTTACAGCTCGTCAGAGCGCATTTTCATACAACTGCCGTACAGTATTCCCCAGGTATGCCACTATGTACCAAATATTTTAACTTTCTTGTTATGTTCTCTCGAATTTTCCCTATATGAATTTTTAAAATGCTCATACAGGGCAGGCAAAGATTGTTTCAGAGGCAGAGCAGCATGCTTTAATTCAGTTACCATTACCTCAAAGCCCAGCAGGAAGTTTTTTTCTGGTCAAGAAGAGAGGCTGTGTGCTGGGTGCCATTACAAAACACACTGTATGTGTTGTAAATGATGACAAACATACTGTAGACATTTTTTTTAAGTCATACTGGGAAAATGAGGAATAACACCAGATTTTTTTGGTAAATGACTGAGCTCAAGTGTTTGTCTGGGTAGTTTAATTAAAAAATAATAATAATAATAATCATGCTAGAAGCATTTCTTAAAACACCCCTGCCTTCATCCCTTCAAATATTTTATTTTGAGAAAACTGATGACAGTAAGGACCTGTAATTTTGTATAATTCTTATTAAGAAATGCACTTTTTTATTTTATTATGTTTTTTTTTTTTTTTTTTGTTTGTTTGTTTTTTACCTGCAGTTCTTTTTGTTCCTTTCTTCAGGCAAATCTGAAATGGTCAGGTGGGAAATCTTATGAATTGAGATGGAATAACCCAATAAAACAGGAGGACCTTCGGTGTTGCACACACAATGAAAGCTTGTTTTTGCCAACCAAAAAAAAATAAAAAAAATAAATGCCATTCACAACTCAAAATTTGCAATTATTATCCCAAATTTTCAACTTAATAACTCAAAGTTCTGAGAAGTTAATTCTCAGAAACACAAAAAAGTGACTTTTGGATGCCAACAAATGTTTGGTTGGTTGTTTTTTTCTGTGGCAGAAACAAGCTTCCATAACAAACCACTGGTGCTCAAAGAGGGGAAGAAAAACAGGAAAACGCTAAATGGAAAAATTACAACCAAAAACAGGCATTAAAAAACGAAATTTTAAAAATCCAGGTCCAGGAAGTCACAGGCAGTTTGGAATAAATAATAAAGGCTTTTATATTATTTTAGTAGCCAAAACCCC